TCTTTATTTTTTTATACTTAAAAAATTGCTTCCGCTTTGCTTTTTCACAGGACAGAGATGTGACGTTCGTGAACGATCCGAATCTTTTCAACGGCTCTTTACAACGAACGATAGGAGCCGAATCGTGGGCAGTAACGAGCCATTTATAGTTTTATTTCTTTTATTCCTCATATATTATTTATTTATTTTTCATCCTTAAATTGCTTCCGCTTTGCTTTTTCACAGGAAACAGGCGGAGTTGTGATGTACGGAAACTCACGGGAAAAGGAGAGGGAGGTTTCTGCTTGACACAAGCTATGGTTCCACATACGTAATGTGATGACATCATCACATACGTGATGACGTAACTCATTCAAAATTGAACGGCTCTTTGAAACAAACGGCTCCCCAAGATCCGGATCCCTTCAAAGAGCCATTTATCCCATCTCTACTGGAGGAAGAATGGAAGATAACCGACTCCCAGCTGGAAAACTCAGTTTCAGAACGGCTCATGTAACCTCACCTCGACTTTAGCACGTACCTGAATACAGTAACAAAGTCTTAAAGTACCTGTGATATCAGTATTTTGTAATAAATATGAATGTATCTTTGGAAAGATAACATTGACAACATATTGCAAAAACAATTTCACGTCACTGAGATGAACGGTTGTTGAGATATTTGCCTGTGAAGCGGCAGGAAGTGATGTCAAAGGGGAATGTCTGCATGTGAACAGAGCTAGCTAACAGACTGTGGATGTGATGTTTCTTTAGATTATTTTGTCTCCATCAGAGAGATGAAGAAGAGTTGGAGTTTAAATGTTATTGTTTTAATAAACAAAGACAGAGTTTACGTTAAAGAGCTCCTTTTTGATGTCACTTCCTGTTTCACTGTTACTGAGCCAAATTCAAAGGAAAACATGTTGAATAAGTGACAAAATGGATAAAAATCATGTGTATTTTATCAAGTTTTTTAAATATAAAAAGTTTTCTTTGATTCTTTTTTTTTTGTATTTGAAGGATGCATCTCACAGGAACTTTAACAACACAGGTGCGTTACCATGGCAACCACAGGTAAAAGAAAAGGATTCATGTGTCATTGTTCTACACCTGTTTGAGTGTGAAAACACCTTGAATCAAACTTGTAGCTGTGCACAGACCTTTAGCTGTGTGTATCAGACCTTTAGCTGTGTGTATCAGACCTTTAGCTGTGTGTATCAGACCTTTAGCTGTGTGTATCAGACCTTTAGCTGTGTGTATCAAACCTTTAGCTGTGTGTGTCAGACCTTTAGCTCTGTCAATCAAACCTTTAGCTGTGTCAGTCAGACCTTTAGCTGTGTGTGTCAGACCTTTAGCTCTGTCAATCAAACCTTTAGCTGTGTCAGTCAGACCTTTAGCTGTGTGTGTCAGACCTTTAGCTGTGTGTCTCAGACCTTTAGTTGTGTGTATCAGACCTTTAGCTGTGTCAATCAGACCTTTAGCTGTGTGTGTCAGACCTTTAGCTGTATGTATCAGACCTTTAGCTGTGTGTATCAGACCTTTAGCTGTGTAAATCAGACCTTTAGCTGTGTGTATCAGACCTTTAGTTGTGTGTGTCAGACCTTTAGCTGTGTGTGTCAGACCTTTAGCTGTGTGTGTCAGACCTTTAGCTGTGTCAATCAGACCTTTAGCTGTGTCAATCAGACCTTTAGCTGTGTCAATCAGACCTTTAGCTGTGTCAATCAGACCTTTAGCTGTGTGTGTCAGACCTTTAGCTG